TTTTTTTATAATAGCAGAAACAAAGCTAATGGAGAATTTAAAAGGTACATCCAGTTTTAATGTAGTCTTTCAATTTTACTGTCTTACCAGGTTCATCACAGTGGGAAGGGAGAGTGCAAAGCATGAGACAGGATATGCAGCCCACAGAACACCTTGTCCAGAACTATATAACCAAGGTCATGAAGGAACAGGAGCATCAGCCCAGAAGTTTAAGCAAACTTGGGCAGGCAAAGAAATTCATATAGAGGCAATGTTTGGCAATTATGCAGTATTAAGAGCACTTTAAGGGAAGAGGACTAAGACCACATTCTTCCCAACTGCCTAGTGTGGTACCCTTTCCAGATGATACAAACGGATTTTGCTGATATACCCCTATAGTTCCCCTGGTATTCCCAAGTTTAAAGCAACCTAAAAGTTACCTATGAAATTATATATGGGCAACCAATGCCCGTAGGTTTTGAATTAATTCCTATTCAAGATGTTTATTTTGACCATGATCAAATTGCTGATATGCTATACAATCTTTTCAATAGGAGCAGTGCCAAAAACCCAAGGGCAAGTCAGACTACATTGTGACCTGAGTGGGCTACACCAAACTATAACCAGTTGTAAGGGGAAATTTGGCATTTCACAAAGTGCACTAGAGAAAAAAACTCTGTGGAAAGTCAAAGCAATACAAAGTTTGAAGGTTTAACTTCACAGGTGCGTTTAAGTCATTTGAGGCTGCTCCAGCAACCCCAGAAGCAAGTCTTACTAGATGTTCCAAGCAGAGGAAATAAAAAAGGCAAAGTTCTGACTATGAAATCCTGAAAAGCCATGAAGATCACTTTTAATGGATTTTAAGCCAATGGAAGTTTGATTTTATTGTTAAAATAATGTGCTTATTTTACTATATTCATCTTCTTTTTTTTCCTTCTCTTTTCTACAGCAAAAGCAATGTTGTTGCTAAAAAGTGGGTTTCTGTTGGTTATGATCTATTTATGATCGCCAGGTAGCATGCAACAGTAATTGAACTGGTTGTTCACCAGTAACTTTTAAATAAAATAATTGCTTTAGTCTATTTCATAATTTCATCTGGAGTTTGCAAGTTTGCCCTTTGTTTCTACGCTGTATGGGTATAGGTTCAATATAAAAGAGAACTAGCCTTGGTGATCGAGGATGAGCGATTGATGTGTATTTTTAACCCAGAATCAGAGTTTGTTCCCTTGGTAACATAGAAAGAGATGCTAGAAGGGAACAAACTGAGATTCTGGGTTAAAAATATGCTTTAGCAGAGAAGTTTTCGTAGGGACTCCATAAGGCATCCTCAATGCATACACCACTCAAGCCTCAATCACTAACGCCAGTTCTTTTCTATATTGAGCCTCTACTCATCAAGGTTTATACAGCAGGGAAACAAAGGGCAAATCTGCAAGAGTACAATGTATGTGTTAAATTAAGACATGTATTTTTCTACCAGCAATTGAAAACACCATACTGTAATACAGCTTGATTATGTTCAAACTCCCCTGTACTTGCCAAAGACATGGTATTTGTTGATGGAAATTATTCCATACTTTTCTTTTCTTATGCCTCAGGACAGGGGTGTCAAACTTAATTTCATTGAGGGCCGCATCAGCATTGCGGTTGCCCTCGGGGAGGGGGATGTGGCCAAGGTGGATGTGGCCTACTGGGAGGGTGTGACCAGCTCTACATCATTCGCGTCAAGGGTGCCTGTGGGGGCCTGGGCAGGAGTGGGACAGATCTGAGGGTCTCTGACAGAATTGGGTGGGACCAGGGCAAGTGCCAAGTCGTCGTCCACTGGAGGAGCCTCACTGTTCCTCTCAGGCCATGCAGGGGGGCTGGATGGTGGTTCGGGCTGCCAGGAGCCCTGGACAACAGAGGTCAAATGCCCAGTCTGGCCTTTGAGCATCCGTGGCACCAAGCCCAGCCCCACTTCCTCAAGGGGGTGCCCAGCCGCACTTACCTCCTCCTCAAGACTGCTGCTGCTGTGCTTGTTCTCCTTACCCAGGTTGCTCATGATGGGTACAAGGGCAAAGTCAGAGGGAGGCTCATTCCCTCTCCATGGGAATAGACCCGGCTTTGTATCCAAAGCTTCCTTAGCAATAGGATGGGAGACCCCCAGGATAGGCCAGGAGGGGGCAAGGGGATGGTGAAAGGGCAGCAGGGCAGGATTAAGGCAGGACTTCCCTCAGACCCACCCTCTCCTTCTTCCCTTCCTTTCTTCCTAAGTACAGAGTGGTGGGAAAAGTATTGGAGATGAGGGAGGAAGAAAAACAGGCAAGAAACGCAGCTGGGAAGGTATCACCTTTCCTGAGGAATGAAGAAATGCACCATCACCTGGAAGTGGCTAGCACATGGCCCTCACCTACTTCACATATTTGGCTTGGTGAGCTTTGGGGGAGGGGATGCCATGAGCAGCATGAGAGTCAATGTTACCTGAGCAATGCCGCCCAGCCCCCAGCCTGCCAGTTTCGGCAGACAGTGGGGCGCTTTCCTCACAGTGCCAAGAGGCTGAACCAGGCGGCGCAAATCCAAAAAGAAGTGTGATGCCACCCAGCCTGCCCGGTTTCAGCAGGTAGCGGGACGCTCTTCTCACAGCGCCGAGAGATTGAGCTGGGTGGTGCGAAGCTCAATCAGCTTTGCATCTTGCTGCCTGCTGAAACTGGGCAGGCTGGGGGCTAGGTAGCATCACACTTCTCATTGGTTTCAAGCCACCTGGCTCAGCTCTTGGCTGAGCCCATCAAGCTGGATATGTGAAGCAGGTGAGGGCCATTTGCTGGCCACTTCCAGGTGATGGTGCATTTCTTCATTCCTCACAAAGGGTGACACCTCCCCAGCATGCAACCAGGGGGTGGGGCCGATGCGGCAGGGGCTGGTTCCTCGCTGTTTCCAGACGGCCTTGTGGAGCTAAGGCTGAATGCGTTTCAGCATAGATGGCCACTACAAAATTGTACACTGGCTCCCAGCTGGCCTGGGCCAGGGTCAAGGCAGCGGGGGCTGTTCCCTCACTGTTTCCAGAATAGTTTCGCGGGTCACATGAAACCACTTTGCAGGTTGCATCCAGCCCCTGGGCCTTGTGTTTGACATGTCTGCCTCAGGTCCTTATACAATTGGTTTATGAAATTGTAAACCTTGTTGGCAGGCTAGTTAGAAAATTAAGCTGTAGATTGCCTACTCTTCTGGCTGGCATTAGGTCTTTTCAATAATTGTTTCCAGAAGAGTGTAAGGGAGACACATATTTTGCCCTCCAAGAGATCAAAATGGAGAGAACTTATGAAGAAAACAAGTTCTTGGAGAAGTGGGAGCATGTTAGCAAGATAGAAATATTGAAGAAATGTATGGTAATTGGGGCTTTCTCAGTAGTAGCAAAATTGCTATAGCAATGCAACTGTTTCTTTTTATTAAGACAATAACTCTTCAGGATAGTTACAGTAGATGAGTGGGGAAGTAATATGAGATTTTCTAATTATGAATATTCATGCTTATATCATCTATACCAGGGGTAGGCAACCTTGGCTCTTTTATGACTCGTGGACTTCGACTCCCAGAATTCCTGAGCCAGCATGGCTCAGCTTGGAAACCTCTCCCTTTTCCCTCAGCGTGGCTGGCTCAGGAATTCCGGGAGTTGAAGTCCACGAGTCATAAAAGAGCTGATGTTATCTACCCCTGATCTATGCCTTTGCATATGTATGACTATTGTTATCTTCTCCTTTCTTGAAATGTACAAAGCACAATTCAAGAATTCCAGAGTACAACCCTAAGCTATCTCCTCTTCCACTGGAACTACTGAATTCAACAGCAAGTTTATAGCATTACAGTATGGCAGTCCATTCATTATAGCTGTAGCACACCTATTTCCAGAAATGAAAAATTAAGAAAAAAAAGGATTGACTGCATTTAAACGTCTAATTTTCCTTAACATTATAGAAGGCTACCATGTTTCCCTGAAAATAAGATCCGTCTTTTTTTTTTTTTTGCCTCCAAAAGAGCCATCAGTTTTTAATTTGGGGGGAGGGAGTATCTTTCCCACTCATCTCTGGCATCGACAGCCCCACCTAGGCAGCCCACTTCTTCTGTGGCCAAAGGAGCAGTTTCATTCTACAGCTGACAATGGAGCTCTGGCCTGCATTTTGTAGTCAAAAGCTTTCCAGAAGGCCACTGCAGCCAAGAACCGAGCTATGGATCCAATCCATAGCTTGGTTCTCAGCTGCAGTGGCCTCCCAGAAAAGAGTCTGATTGCGAAATGCAGGCCTTGTGAAGCCTCAGAAGTAGGCTGGGCAGGAGAGGCCTGCTGCAAATAAGTGGGTGCAGGGTGCTTGGGGCAGCTCAACACCCCCATCCCCGCTTGATTTTTGAGGTGTGCCTCACCCTAAAACTGGGGCTTATTTTGGGGGTAGGCCTTATATTAGGCCCACCCCCAAAAATCAAGCTAGTGCTTATTTTCAGGATAGGTCTTACTTTCGGGGAAACACGGTATTATGTGTTCTTGTTTCCTAGATATTTATTCTTATTTCTTATTTAATTCTTGCTTTCCTTCAGCATACTGTCTGGTTTCAGGCAATGTCTTATATCCAAATATTACCCACTACTAAGACCTGCTGTCAGTTTAAAAGCAGTTCAGTTCATGCTGATTTTGCAAGGATTAAAGGCTTCCTTTTGGCATCACAAAAATCATAGCCATTTGTAAAGCCTCAGGTTTTTCCAGTTAAGAGGACTTGTTTTTTTCCCTCTATTTTTTCTTTGTAACATATGTGCATGTATAATTAAACCTTTAATAATATAGAAAGTAATAAGAATCATATTTTTAAACCCATTTTCAAATGCTGAATTTTAAGATATTAATTTTTGTATTGTTTTTCAGTTTGGTTGGAATGTAAAGATAGACACAAGCAGTTTGCCTTCACTATATCAACATGTCTAATTATTTGTTACTTTGCATTATCCATTCCCAGCTTCAAATCTAAAAACTTTTAACAAATGATAGAAATACTGAACAATTGCAATTGTACAATTTAAATTTATTTTGAGAAGTCAAATAATTACAATTTCAGATCATACTACTAAATAGAACCCGCTTCATCTTTGTATCATATAGACTTGTGTGAACAGATCAAATATTCCTTATATCTAGTCAGTTAAGCTTATCCTGATTATGGGGTAATAAAAATAAAAATAAGAGGAATACTTTGCAGGTATTTAAAACAAAATTCAATTTCCTCTGAGCAGCATTGAGATTATTACCAAAGTCCATTAAACAGGGTGCGTCAGGTATATATTCCCCCCCCCTCCAAGGGATAGTCCTTCCGGTCCAATATTATTTTAATTATTAAACTGAAGATACAGGAAAATTCTGGCTTTGGATTATATACCAAATTGTGTTAAACAAAACAAGCAGGACAAGAGGATTTTTTTGAAACCAAAAAAGATAACAGGTTATTAAAATAGTAGCTTTCTACTGAAAATATGACATGCAAGCATTAGCACATACCAGTTCTTTCTCCATTCTCCATGAGGTTCAACAAAAATCCACTTGTTTAAAAAACAACCAAATGCAGGAATTACAAAATATTTACCATTCTGGGATTCCCATTAATTTTTGTTTAAAGATATTTAAGTACATAAAACTACAACAATTACACCTGAATATTACAGTAAGAAGAGATGAAAATGGGTATTTTAAAAGAAAATACATCTTAATGAACCAGGGACATTTTAATTGGATATAGGATAATGGTAGGAGACCAACAGGAAAAGCTAGGTTCGGAACATGCTGTTGAAAAATGGTATTTGCTCTGTAATTGACTTCTCTTCTTAATAACGCCCTGAAAGAAAAAAAAAGAATGCTGTAACTATAAATTCATATCTCCAGACTAGCTTCTATATTAATTTAGTTGTTTCTGAAAGGAGAGTATATTTTATTAGTATTTCCTATGCTACTCTTAAAATCTCTCACTATATTAAATTATACATATTTACTCTTCACAATTAATATAGTTATGCTTACTTGGACTGTAGGAACGAGATCTTGATCTTGATCTGTAACGACTATAATATGGTGAAGGTGATCGCCTCCTTTGAAAGAAAATGCAAAATATTTCTGTTGACAGTGGCTCATTCCCATATTCATACATTTTAGCAGTTCACAGGTATATATATTAATGAGGCTTGTAGATATTAATTGAAAAATTATTTGTAGGGTTTACATTGTGGTAAAATAGAATTAAATTGTATACAGGTAATCCTTGACTTATAACCATTTGTTTAGTGACCATTCAAAGTTACAACAGCACTGAGAAAAGTGACTTATGACCATTCGTTTTTCATGACTGTTGCAGCAATTCCCATGGTGATCAAGATTTGGATGCCTGGCAACTGGCATGTATTTATGACAGCTGCAAGGTCCTGGGTCATGAGATCACCTTTTGACAAGCAAAGTCATTGGGGAAGCCAGATTCACTTAACAATCACATTAACAACTATAGTAATTCACTTAACAATTGTGGTAAGACAGGTAGTAAAATTAACAACTATCTTGAAAATTTTTGGATCAATTGCAAGTTGAAGACTCCCCCACATACATGTAGCCTGTTTCACTCACTTACCACCTCAATCACTGACCATTCAATGCAGTGTCCTCACAATCACATAACTGCTATTTGGGCACTTTGCAACTGCCACATGTTTATGATGGCCACAGCAGCCTGTAGTCATATGAATGCCTTTTGTGACCTTTACAATCAGCTTGTAACAAGCAAGGTTAGTCAATAGGAAGGTCATGTGATGTTAATGAGTTGCAGTGATTTGCTAAACAATTGCAATGGAACTAAAATTGTTAAGTCCAGTAGAGCCACGTGATATATTCACTTAGCAATTGCATCACTTAGAGACAGAGTTGCCAGTCCCAAATTGTTAGTGTGAACTATTTATACTGGTTTATATAACAGCAGTCTACATATATAATCTGCTTAGCACAAATGCACATTCTACTTTTAAATAGCTTCCCAACATGTAGGTAATAATGATCATTACTTTTGTGCAAAAGTTCCAAATTGCCCTATTTGCCATCACTTCTTAGGATATTTTCTTCCCAAACCAACTTTTTTCCATTCCTATTTTATTATTTATTTTTCACATTGTATCCTTTCCTCTGATTTTAAAGTGATACAATTATACTGATGAAAGAATAGCACAATAAATAGTATTAACTATTTTTGTCACACTCTAATTAAGCCTTTATTGAACTGTAATTCAATAATCTCCTCCAGTGATCCTGGTTTTTCTTTTCCTTTTTAAATGTCAGGCAGAATCAAGGGTATGGCACCTACAGAAAATTTAAAAACTGCATGGGAAACTCACTCCCTATTTATTTTGCCTCTTTTGTAGGATACAAACAAGGTAATCTTATCCTGATAAGATCTAATGAATCTATTTTTTTCCTAAAAAAACAAAAACAAAAAGTATAACAGGAGCATGCAATGATAGAAGGCATCCCTCTTGTTTTTACTAGAAAATAATCAACTGATTACGCTTGACTGATTATTTTCTAACAAGGAACAAAGAACGTTCCTTGTTAGAAAACCTGTTAAAAGTTTGGCTTTTAAAAAGTGGTAAATAAAAGATGGTCACTCCTTTCCCCCCAACACAAATTACAAAATTTCATTCATTTTTTAATAAAATATTCAGCATATTTATTATTATGCTGCCAGCTTTCACACTATTTTATTTAATTGGTTTTATTGTGATATTTTGAGTATTTTAAAAATATTCACTATATCATATTAATAGCTGCCAATAAAATGGTTAAAATATTGTTTGTTATTATTCACTTCAAACACAATACAAATGAAAAATCATGTTATATATGAGCAGTAACTTGTCTGTAAACTGCCCAGAGTCACTTAGATAAGATGGGCAGTATAGAAATTTAATAAATGATAAAGAAATAAACTTAGTTTTCCAAATACTGCAAAAGACTTTCTAGCAATGTCCTGGAAGAGGTAGGTCTGAACATTTTGGGCATATTTTTCACACATTTTAAGAGAAATTTACAGGTGGGATTTGGCTTATGCAGACCATATACTTCTGTCATTTTAAATCTGCAGTGTACATAATTGAGCGTTTGTCTCCCAAACCATAAATGGTGTCCACAAATGGGAAACTAGGGGAAATATATGACTCTTGGATTGTCCATCTCTGCTAAATGGGGAAGTGTGTTTGAGCTCCAATAAAAAAGATTTCCGAGGACCTCCAGAAAAGTTGTTGTTGCTTATCAGGCTGGAAAAGTTTACAAAACTATTTCTCAGGAGTTGGATTCTGCCAATCCACTGTCAGGCAAATTGTGTATAAATGGATGCATTTAACCTTTCTAGGAAGGGTTGAACAATCAAGATCACACCAAGACTAATGCCTGTAATATTGCTGGAGGTCTCAAAAAACCCAAGAATAATGTTGAAGGGATTAAAGGCCTCTCTTCATTGATGAATTTAGGTGTTCATGAGACCACTATTGTTCAGGAGAAACTGAACAATAATAGCAGAGTTGAAAGAAGAAAACTACTACAGGTAGCCCTTGAGTTACCACCATTTGTTCAGCAAATATTTGAAATTATGATAGCACTAAATGAAGGGACTTATAAATTGTACCAGAATTTGCAGCAGCACCCCATGGTCACATGAACAAAATTTGGGAGCTTGGCAATCCACCCTTCCTTACAACTGACCACAGGAATGCTGCAATTGCTCCACCTGCCTATCTTCCACCTATCCCAACCTGTTGGATCCCTTGTGCTTATCCCCCTACCTGCGTTAACCATATGTGACTGTTGGGGATCCACCATGGAGCTGAGGTGGAGAGGCTCATTAGGTCTGCGAACCACGGTCTTCTGGGCCAGTGAGATTAACTCCACCTGCTCCTCAAGGACCTTCCTGACCACTGCTGGAAGCAGAGGCAGCGGGGGGAAAGGCGTATAAAAGGCCTTGTGGCCACGGGCTGCGTATGGCGTCCGTCTCCTCCGCTCCCCAAGAGGGGAAGCGTGAAAAGAATCTGGGCAGCTGGGTGTTCTCCAGTGAGGCAAACAGGTCCACGATTGGATGACCAAAACTGTCTGAGACCTCCCTGAAGATATCCGGGTGTAACCTCCACTCCGAATGGTCCACTATCGACCTGCTGAGGAAGTCTGCCTGACGATTCGCCTCTCCCGAGATGTGCTTGGCCCTGATGGAAAGCAGGTAGCTCTCTGCCCAGGATCCCAATGCCCGAGCCTCCATCATGAGTGACCTGGATCGAGTGTCCCCTTGCCGATTCACATGAGCTTTTGCAGCCATGTTTTCTGTTAGGACCAGCACGTGTTGCCCCTTGAGCATTGTTTGGAAATGCTTGAGAGCCAGATGGATCGCTCTGAGCTCCAACCAATTTATGCTGTGCCTCAGGTCTGCCTATGACCACTGACCCTGAGCCATCTGAGTTTGGAGATGTGCACCCCAACCGAAGAGACTTGCATCCGTGGTCACAATGATACGACGAGGCTCCTTGAAAAGAGTCCCCTTGCGAATGGCCGAGGATGTCCACCAGCCGAGAGACACACCTGGCGAGGGACACACACCAACTGGTTGGAGGTACTGGTGTGTTATCTCTGGTACGGGAGCAGAAACCACTGGAGGGTCCGGCCATGCAGTCGGGCCCATGGCACTATCGCTATGCAGGATATCAACTTCCCCAGGAGCTAGGAAAGGAGAGCCAGTGTCACTGCCCTGCTCCTGCGTACCTTGAGTGCTAGGTCTCTGATGCTCCTGCGCCGTTCCTCTGACAAAAACACATGGCAAGAGTCTGTGTCTATTACCGCGCCCAGATGTAACAGGCGGGTCGAGGGAGATGTTTGGCTCTTTTTGAAGTTTATCAAGAATCTGTGGTTCTGGAGGGTCCTGATAGTGAGGACCAAGTCGGACTGAGCGGTAGTGACAGAATGTGATTGGATCAGTATGTCATCCAGGTAACACTGGACGCGCACCGGGAACAATGTCAAATGAGCTGCCAGCACCGCCAGGATCTTGGTGAAGACCCTGGGGGCGGAGGAAAGACCGAATGGTAGGGGTCTGTACTGGAAGTGGCGGTTGAGATAACAAAACCGCAGAAACCTGCAATGCTCCGGGAGGATGGGAATGTGCGGATATGCCTCTGTTAAATCTATTGAGGTCATGAGATCTCGTCTGACACTGGCCAAGATGGAATGGAGTGTCTGCATTTTGAACTTCCAGTACTGGAGGTGGAGGTTCAGACCTTTGAGGTCGAGGATTGCTCTCCATTCCCCTGAGGATTTGGGGACTACAAATAGTATGGAGTAATAACCCCGTCACGCTTGGTTCAGGAGAACCTCCTCTATGGCCTTGATGCTCAGTAAGTGTCGGATGGCGTCCTCCATGAGCTCTCTTTTTATTGGGTTTCTCATGGTTGGACAAGAGACAAAATGGTCTATGGGCGTGGATTTGAACTCCAGAGACAGGTCTTCTCTTATGTGCGCAGAACCCAGGAGCCCGTGGTTGTGTTTTCCTACTGTCAAATGAAAAGAGTGAGTCTGCTGCCAATGGGGGGGGGTCCCTCCTGAGTCACTTGGTGCGACGGAAGGGATGATCCCCTCTGCCACAAAAGGAAGACTTGTTCTGGGTCTGATACTGGGACCGGTCCCTATAGCTCGTCCTATCAAATGTACGTTCTGTTTTGGGAGCTGTAAGCTGGTAGGGTTGTCCCGTCTCTGCCGTAGCTCCAGTCCGAAAGGACTGATGGTGACCATAGAGGAAGAAGCGCCTGCTAGCTCTCCTCGTCAAATGAGAGATGACTTTCTGCTTTTGTTTATTTTCTATGAGATACAGAGTCAATGCCTCCCCAAATAATCTGCCTCTCTTGAAGGGGGAGGTGGCCGCTCGACACTTGTGTTTACTTTCGGCCCTCCAACTTTTAAGCCAGAGTAGCCTCCGAGCGACTATGCTGGAAGCTATTGCCCGGGCCAAGTGTTTGGCAGAGTATAAGGAGACATCCGCCATATACTCAGATATCGCTATGAGTTTTGTCAGGTCCTGGTGGATCCTGACCTCTTCCAGGGGAATTCTGTCCTGTAACTGTCTAAGCCAGGTAAGGGAGATTCTAGCGAAGAATGAGGTGGAGGTTGCCGCCTTCCCTGCCCATGCAGATGCCAGGTGAACTTTGCGCAATGCTAGTTCAGACTTATCTTCCGCCTTACGGGCGTCAGAAACATCTGCTGGAAGACTGGCTGCTGAGAAAAGTAGAGCTAGGGATTCATCCACTTTGGGCACCTCCAATAAGTCCGTCAAAGTTTGGGCCACGTCCACAATCTTGCGCTCAGCCGCTCCCTGGGATGGCTGAGCTGCTGGTGATTCCCACTGTCCCTGAATGTTCTTCAGCAATAATGGGGGACAGGGTATTTGTAAGTGTCTTATTACTGGTTCAGCGAACAGGGGATTCATGTCCTGAGCAGTGGAAGACTTTGGGGTGGGGACCGGGTCGGAGGTAAGCTTACCCGCTGCACAGGCCCTGCGCAGCAAAGAAGGAAAAAGAGATGTATTGAAGAGTTCTGCCATGGACTGGGAGTCTTGTGGAGGCTCCTCGCAATCCGACCACCGGTCTGCACCTTCGTCATAATCCGAAGCGTTAGAGGAATCAGATTCAGGTGAGTGGGATGGCGAGACCATGCCGGTACGATCAAATGTAGGTTGAGATGAAGTAGTGGGTGCTGATGAGGGCCCCGGTATGGGTGACATTTGATGGTGACCTGATGATGCCATGGCTTGAAGAACCGCCTGTGATATCCATGATTGCAGCCGGTCTGTAAGGGACGGCTCTAGTGGAGGTCGTAACCCCGCAGCCTTCGGTGTGAATGACGCTGTGGGTGCCATACAAGGGCCTGGCAGATCGAGTCCTCCCAAAAGAGGGGTAGCCCTCTCTGACCAAAGGTCTGAATCGAGACCTGCTGATGCTCAGGCTCCGGTGACCACGCCCTTGATGAAGTCAATAGTTGCGCTCCTGCTTCAGGTGCAGCTGGTGGGGGGAGCAGAGGCATATGTCCTTGCCCAGCTGACAAATGTTGGGCCCGGGAGAACTGCTTCTCCAGGGCTCTGTGCGTGCAATTGGCCTGCTTGTCGCTTGCCTTAGTAGCCTTCCTGCCGTATTTGGATTTTGCTTTGGCCTTTCCCTTAGGCGCTTCTGAACCAGATCGGCTTGGTTGGATTGGTTTTCCATGTCCAAAGGCTGTGGCTCAGTGAGGTCTGCCATGGCGATAGAGAAGTGTCCCAGATGAGGCTCTGGAACTGACTTGCTCTGCAAGAGATGTCAGTTGCCCCCCATGGAAGGACTGACTGCATGTGGATTAACGTGAGCCTGCCCACTGGCTAAGCCAGCCTCATGCTGGGCGCCACAAAGCGCTCGTCACCAAGGCAAAGGGCAATCCGTATGCCAGTCCTGAGGCCAAAATGGTGACAAAATCACACGCGTCTCACAATAGTGGCAATGGTCACGTCCTGGCAAGCAACCACTAGATGCAGAGTGACAGATACTAAGATGATGTTAGGCAAGCAGGGCCTGATAGACTTTCTTGTCAGCAAGGTGATAGGGATCCACAAATCTATCTATATAAATCAATCTATATAAATCAATCTATCTATCTATCTATCTATCTATCTATCTATCTATCTATCTATCTATCTATCTATCTATCTATCTATCTATCTATCTACCTACCTACCTACCTACCTACCCACCCACACATATATAAGCATATTTATATATGTTTTAAATTGGTGCTAGCAGAGCACACAAAATGGTGTCCACGACTGAGAGACAATTCTGGAAGCTTCCCTGTGGAAAGTTACTGCCTCGCAAAATGGCGGACGCACTGAACCCAGGAAGGGGGGGAGGGTCTGACGATCGAGGCTTGGATTCAATCTATAATAAGGCCCTACAATAAATTCTATAAATTCCCAGGTCCTAGAGATCGAAGGGGGAAGATTAAACAATTCGCGCCTAACAGCTGTTTGGCGCAACGGTGCTCACTGTGCTTTAGCAGGGCCTCCTTCGTTCCGAAAGGCAGCCGGAGCAAAGAAAATTAAAGTACTCAAATTATCCCCCGTAGCGCTTGCAATCCGCTCTATACAGCCAGTCAGCAGGCCGAAGAGGCTTCGGCAAGAAGCTGGAGGCCGAACGGACTCAAAATAGCGGCCGTGAGTGATGGAGTGCCGACCGACCCCGGTCAGAAGAATAAGGCCACGTGGCCTCAAAATGGCGGCCGCGAGAGGGACTGGATGCCTCTGAAAGGGGAGTGGGAATGAAACTCAGCCCCGGCTGAGCTATAGGGAAAAGGAATCACCCCCCTCCCGTATCTAAAAAAAGTGCTGGGAAGGAGACTCAACTGCTGAGTTTAGAGAGAGAACAGCCACCCCCCCTTAATGTGGAGAGGAATACTTCTTTTCTCCCCTGTTTAAAAGAGAACAGGGGACAGAATCCCCTGTAAAGGGAATAATCAGAAGCTAGAAGCCTCTAATTCAAAGAATCCATTAATAGGTTTAACAACTTAATTTAGTCTAACCTGCCACACAAACAAACCTGAGAGTTAAGTTATCACGTCCTCATGGGCGAAAGACTAAGATGAAACTGGAAGGTTTCAGTCAAGGAGGGGTGTGACAACCTGATAACTTAGTCTGATTGGGCAGGAGGACTGAAATAACCCATTGGTGGATTCTTCAATCATCATGCTGGAGAATAGATCATGTCTTAGGTCATATTTATGTAGAAATACTGAACATTTAAAAGGCTTCACAAACTTTTAAAAATCACTGTATTGGAATGTATTGCTTGTATTAAAGTTTCCCATAACTTCCACATCTAATTTGAATACTTACCTATAGCGATAATCATATTCTTCATATCTGTCATATCCTCTGTCATATCCTCTGTCATAATAGGAATCACGGCGACGGCCAGTTCCTCCTCCTCCTCCACCACCACCACCTCCTCCTCCTCCACCTCCACTGCTTTTATTAAAAAAGAGAGAGAGAGACAGTTCAGACAAGTTCTGCTGAAAGCTATACATTAAGATTTTGTCTCAAAGATCAAGACAATACTCCTAATGAAGGAACTGATGATTCATAGTTGACTTAATTTCAGCAATTATTCAAACTGGCATCAGATATTGAAAATCATTTATAAACTATGCTGGAGTTTTCTCCTAATCGCAGGAAAAAAATGAATAAATATGCTACAGGAACAATAATAATAATGATGATGATGATGATGCTGGAAGGGATCTTAGAGGTCATCTAGTCCAACCATCTGCTGAGGCAGGAAACCCTATACCATTTCGGACAAATGGATGTCCAGTCTCTTCTTAAAAACATCCATTGTTGGAACATTCACAGCTTCTGGAGGCAGGTTGTTCCACTGGTTAATTGTTCTGTCAGGAAGTTTCTCCTGTTCTAGGTTGCTTTTCTCTTTGGTTAGTTTCCATCCGTTGCTTCTTGTCCTGCCTTCAGGTGCTTTGGAGAATAGCTTGACTCCCTCTTCTTTGTGGCAACACCTTGTCCTTCTCTTTGTTAAACTAGACATTCCCACTTCCAGCAACAGTTAGTTATATGTTTAGTTAAATAGTTCTGCTTTCTCTCTGCTTGTCACCTTCTTGCCACTTTCACCCACTAATGGACCAATCATTTCCTTAACTTTTTTCTTGGTTTTTTTTTTTACATGTTGAAGGAAGCTTTTTTATTTTTTACTTTTGTTGTAAGCCTTAGTTCATTTTGAGCCTTAGCTTTCCTCACAGTATTGAGAGCCTTCCTTTTTTTTTAGCAACCTTTCAACTCCAGTTAACTGGTATGTGGTTATTCCTATCTACGTATACATTCCTGTAGTATTTCTAATTTATTCTAGTTTGTTTATTCGTTTTAGTTATTTTGTATACTAAGAGTCTGGTGGCACAGTGGTTAGAATGCAGCATTGCAGGCTAAATCTGCCCACAGCCTGGAGTTCGATCCTAATGGGCTGAAGGTTGACTCGGCCTTCCATCCTTCCGAGGTCGATAAAATGAGGACCCAGATTGTTGGGGGCAATATGCTGAGTTTTAAACTGCCCAGAGAATGCTGTAAAGCACTATGGGGCGGTATATAAGTGCTATTGCTATACTACCCAGAATTGTAAGACTTGGCCCACTTAACAAATATAATAATCTCTGGAGTTCTTGGTTGGATATAATGAAAGGAGGAATGTGTTTCTAGCCTTTGGCAAATAGAAAACTGTTCACAATGTGCTTTAATGTTCAATTCCAGGGTGTTATATATAAAAAGTATGGTACTTTGTTAAACTTGGCAGGTAGGCCAAGTGTGTGTATTAAGAAAGCTGAAGTCAATCATTAGGGAGCAAAACTGTTCATGGCCAATATTGAATTGAAAGCTTCTTAACTGAATTAGGCTCTGAGCTATTTTTCAAGAAAAACTGCAAAAATGCATGCCACATTGAATGTTATGGCAAGAAAAACCAAATGCACAGGTATAGTATAGGGGGTACCTAGCTCAATAGTAGTAACTGAGAAGGATCTCGGAGTCCTAGTGGACAATCATTTAAATATGAGCCAGCAGTGTGCTGCAGCTGCAAAAAAGGCCAACACAGTGCTAGGTTACATTAACAGAGGGATAGAATCAAGATCACATGAAGTGTTAATACCACTTTACAATGCCTTGGTAAGGCCACACTTGGAATACTGCACCCAGTTTTGGTCATCACGATGTAAAAAAGATGTTGAGACTCTAGAAAGAGTACAGAGAAGAGCAACAAAGATGATCCGGGGACTGGAGGCTAAAACATATAAAGAACGGTTGCTGGAATTGGGTATGTCTAGTTTAATGAAGAGAAGGACGAGGGGGGACATGATAGCAGTCTTCCACTATCTCAGGGGCTGCCACAAAGAAGAGGGAGTGAAGCTATTTTTCCAAAGCTCCTGAAGGCAGGACAAGAAGCAACAGATGGAAACTAATCAAGGAGAGAAGCAACATAGAACTAAGGAGAAACTTCCTGACAGTTAGAACAATTACCCAGTGGAACAACCTGCCTCCAGAAGTGGTGAATGCTCCACAGTGGAAGTTTTAGGAAGAGACTGGATAGCCATTTGTCCGAAATGGTATAGGGTTTCCTGCCTGAGCAGGGGATTGGACTAGATGACCTCCAAGGTCCCTTCCAACTTTATTATTATTATTATTAAAATATTTATTCATTCCTCAGAAAATACTCAGTACAGACTACAATTACTCCTATTTCTGGAGCGCCAGGACTAAAACATAAAAGAGAAAAATGGGCTTACTTTGCGTTCCATTGGTTTCTTATAGCAAAATATTGGAATTATTTGTTATGCTGTATTGGAAGCCAATCTTTTGAAACTTTCTGATAGAACACTCTACTGAGATAGATTGCTTGGAATTTGGAATTAACAAGTCATGTTTACTCCTATACATTGGGCTTTGAGGTTTCACTTAAAACGCCAGTCATAGAATATATTTGTAGAAACAATAAAGTGAAATAAAGCAGTCATTAGAATGGAACATGTTTAAAGGAACTGAATATTTTACTTAAAGTCCCATGGCAAATGTATTTCTCATAGTAATAGGGCTAAGACAATAAATATCTTACTGAGTTGGTCTGCCCATATAGATACCAGGGGTGGGTGTATGTGCTCTCTTTGTGATAGAGTAATCTACTCTGATTCTTCTACCATCCAACTCCATTCCATTTGCATGTTCCATAGCCTACAAGAAAGGGGAAAAAAACCCTCTTATAATGCCTGTATCTAGTAATCTTCTACAAATTAATGGGGGAGGGGGAATTAAATATGATCACTTTTAAGCCAACACAGGAAGATGCTATTGCATTCCTGATGCTTTGTTCCTAATTAAGACAAAAAAAAAAAAAGATAAACTTAACTTAACTAAAGCAAAGAATTCTATGATTAACTTCAATCAAAGACATAAGAGGAAAGTATGATCAGGGGCATCCAGCAGTATGGCTTCTTGCAGACTCAGTTTCATTTCACGTTTTCCCTGTCTACTTTCATTTCATTTCTTTTAGAAGAATTGGGTATCATTGAAGTTTCAATGATATTCAATTCTTCCAGTAGAGATTCCAGTTATTTTTTAAATCTATATAAACATTATTAAAGCTCTACACATAAAATAAGCATTAAAACACAATAAACACACATAACCTCCAAATACAAAACTAAACATCTAACTTAAAAACATCTCATATTTCTCACAGATCCATTAACTTCTGCCTTTAATTTCTTTACAAATCCATTAACCCTCTTATTCTTTTACAGAATAGATTCCCATTTATGTGACTTTCTAATTACTATCTTCTCTACTTATTCATCACTTTAAACACTGTGGTGGTGATGTTAAAAAAATCTTCAAAAGTATTAGAAATGCATAAAAACGTCAGAAAATCCTAAACATAAAGTTTAAACTGAATGCAAATATTTTTATTGGGTATAAATGAAAAATATCACAATTTACTAAAATATATGATAACTGCAAGAACAAATTTGGCACAGTATTGGAAAAGAAAAACTTTACCTACAATATCAGATTGAAAAACTAAAAATGGAGAATATGTAGCAATGACAAAATATGTAGCAATGACATATCTACTTAATAGAAATCTAATTAAATTTAAATAAAGATGGCTCCCATATATATATTTCAGATTGCATAGTAAGACAAATTTAGTCATTTGTAACAGAGGGCAAGAATATGTCTATGGAAAGTTTTTGCATTCTTTTGTTTTATTCTGTCTATTGTCCTATTTAACACAAACTTTTTCCTAAATATTTTACTATTGTAACAATAAGAATATCTTTTAAAACATACTTAATATATCATGAGACTGATTTTACATTAGGATCCATCCCTTACAGAATCAGTTTGAAACTTGCTGTTAACTGCTGCTTTATATCAAGTCACTGAATTATTTTTCAAAATAGTCTCAATAGTGTACTTCGTTAGCTTAAGAACCAAGTAACATGTTCATGTTAAGATATTTAAAAATTGATAATTCCTGTTAATGAGGAAAATGCCTGCTTGCTATCAAATATTTTGTTAGAAAAAGTTAATGCCATTCCATAGAGAATTACTGCTTCTATATCATAATAGATAGACCTATCAGGATGTTTACTCAGAATGTCCTTGCATAGACAGAATTGCCCTATTGTACAATAACACTTATGCATTAGCTTCAAACGCATTTTAGTATATTATTATTTAATTTAAATAATTATACTTAAGAGGGAAACTAGAGAATTTAGATATTAAATTCATAGATTGAAGAAGCTAGTTCTGTATTATTTATAGCTTGAAACAAAATAACAGGAATACGGACTATTCAATATATCCCTATTTAACGTTCTTTAAGACCACATTAAATGTAGACTATACTGCCACCTAGTGTTTCTTTTAATTCCACAGAAATATTTTTTCCTTTTTACTATGTTGTAAATCTTATACATTGGGGTGTCAAACTCAATTTCACTGAGGGCCGCATCAGCATTGTGGTTGCCTTCAGGGGGCCGGGTGGGTGTGGCCAGGGTGGGTGCGTCCTACTGGACGTGGATGGAGTGGGGTGGACTACTGGGTGGGCATGGCCAGCTCTACATCGTTCGCGCCAAGGGTGCCTGGGCAGGAATAGGACAGATGTAAGGGTCTCTGGCAGAAGGGAGTGACCGGGGCAAGCACCAAAGCATGGTCCTTTCTTCATTCCTCACAAAGGGTGACACCTGCCCAGCATGCACCCAGGGGGCGGAGCCGACATAGCAGGGGCTAGTTCCTCGCTGTTTCCAGACAGCCTTGTGGAGTTAGGACTGAATGCATTTCAGCATAGATGGCCACCACAAAAATTGTACGTTGGCTCCCGGCTGGCCTGGGCCAGGGCCAAGGCAGCAGGGGCCATTCCCTCACTGTTTCCAGGATGGCTTAGCCACTTTGCGGGTTGCATCCGACCCCCGGGCCTTGTGTTTGACAAGTCTGTTACACATTGTGCTGTTTCAATACACTGATGTCTGTTTAATGTTTAAAGCTATTTTTTTTTATTTAGATAGCTTAGAATACTAAGAATGGAAAAGAGAAAAAAATCTATCAATGTTAATTGCAATTGTAGTATCAATATTACAAATGTAAAATTATTTAGCTTTTTCATCCAAACAAATCTATTCTGGTTTCTGTTTGTATTGTATGAATCTTTCCACCCTCACAGAAATGTTATTAAATGCAAATTATAGTAAAGTGAATATTGTTTATAAAAACACACATCAGAAGAATGAGAATCCTGAAAGGGTTGTACCATAAACTCTGAACTATTTAGATTAATTTATAGAGATGCGCACAACTTCACCTTTGAAAAATAGCCAAAAATATAAAAGCAACCCAAAACCTGATTTGATACTGACATAATTCTTAGCTCTAAGGACTTAATTTATTCAGTATAGTATCAATGGAAAGATTAATTTCCAATACTCATATCTAGTTTTTCCCTTAGTATTAACCTATGGATTTCTAGTTTTAAGACATACTTACAATATAAATATCACCTGTTCATACTTTCAAATATACATATTATCCCTTTCATTCATAACTAAACCTACATCTTTACTTTCCATTCAAAAAAAATCAGACCTTCGTTCAACTCTATTTCTCTTAATCTAATCTCAAACATATATGGATAGTCATCTACTTAGGACCACATTTGAGTCCAGAATTTTATATTGCTAAGTGAGAAATTTATTGAGTTTTGCCCCATTTTACAACTTTTCTTGCCATTTGTTAAGTGAATCACTGCAGTTGTTAAATTTATAACACAGTTAAGTGAATCTGGCTTCCCTATTGACTTGGCTTCTAAGTCAAGAAGATCACAAAAGACGATCACGTGACCCTGGAATACTGCAACCATCGTTAACTATGAATCAGTCAAGCATCCAAATGTAAATTACGTGACCATAGGGCTGTTGCAATGGTCATAAATGTGAAAAATTGTCATGTCATCTTTTTTCAATGCCGTTGTAACTTTGAACTAAATGAACTGTTGTAAGTTGAGGACTATCTGTATTTTTGTCATTTAATTTGTGCTCTTCATAATTTACCACTATCACTGAGAAATTCGCAGAAATATTGATCTGCGCTGCACATCATGATGCTGATCATTCAAGACTTTCAAATAACACTTTTATAATAGAAAAGGTGCAAAATTATCAGCCTCCAATGAATTTGTGCTACATAGAACATTCCTTGCTAATAACATGCACTGGTTAATATTGGTACATTTTGTTCATAATATCAAAATAAAACCAAAGCCTAGTTTTACGCAAGTACACTTATGCTTTAACATGCAAGGTAGTGTGGGAGGAATCCAGAGAAAGAAATATTGTGGGGAATATTAAAAAGGCAGTATATATTTCTCCAAAGGAATAATGGAGAAGATCTTTAAAAAGGCAGCCAGAAAGCTAGAAGCTGATGAGCTTAGTAAGACAAAGACCCCCAAAATCTACATACCCCACCCAAACTCTAAGGACAGGAAACCTAATAGTATTAACCCACCAATACCAAAAAGGGCACACTCAGACTCAGGTCAAAGTACATGGCACAGGAAATACAAAGTCTCAACAGGAACAGGAAATAACCTCAAAAGCCCCAGAAGATATAAAAACCTACCACTCCCAGCAACACGTGTTCAGCTTTCCCAGAGTCACATTGCTGTCTGGCTCTGCTCTTTAATAAACCACAACCTTCTTTCTAAAGCAATTTCCATTTTGTTTATTCCTGGCTTGGACTGGACCCTGATGAAGATTTTTTCTTTCTACAGTAGTCTTTCTACACTAGAGACCACCTGGCAAGCAAACTAACCAACATCCTACCTAGGTGTCTAGAAATGTATACAGGTAAACTTCTACTTACAACCATTTGCTTAATAATAATTTGGATTAATATCTGTCTAAAGAAGCCAGTTATGACCTAAATTGAAACTTCTCTGACTTCTGCCCTATCCTAAAGGTCATGTAATCACAACCTGAGCACTTAGCAAGCAGCCTGTATTTATGACTGGTTGCATCATCCTGATCATGTGATGGCATTTGTTTAGTTTCTGGCAAAACCTGCCATTGGTTAAATTGGATTTACATATATGACCGCGTAACTCAACTTAGAACCGTGGTAAAAATAACTGTTAAAATTGGGTTAGATCATACAGTGTCTTGACTTATGATGCAATCTGTTCCTAATTGTTAATGTAAGGACTACCTGCATGAAATATATTGACCCACATCCAGGATGCATCCTTTCTTCTTCAGAATAGTTATTAACGTTAATTGGATAAAATCATAAAATCTGATATATGAGGTTGTGTTTTAAAAAACATAATCAAGATTAGCCATATATTTAGGATCCTACATAAGCTAAACTATAGTTAAAGTCATCAAAATAAGCCACTTATTTCATTATATATGTGATTGCAGAAATTTATCTGTATCATTTATTAGGTAGTTTCAAAGTTAACAAGCCCCTTTGCAAAAAACAAAACAAAACAAAACAAAACAAAAAAAACACCTGGTAATTTCAGAAAAAGTTTTACCTCTTTAGAATCGTCTATTCTTTCAAAGTAAACGAAAGCAAATCCTCTTGATCGTCCAGTCCGTTGATCATACACCACATTGACTCCACTCAATGGTCCGTAACGGGAAAAGACTTCTCGAAGATCTCTCTCAGTAGTATATAAGCTGAGGCCAAACACTCCAAGACATGTATTAGGATCCGGATTAGCCTAAAATGTATCAAGTTAAACTATTAAGTGTCTTATTATTAACAGTTAAATCTATTACAGGTAGTCCTTGACTTATGACCACAATTGAACCCAAATTTCCATTGCTAAGCAAGACATTTGAGTTTTGTCCCATTTTATGACTTTCCTTGTTACAGTAAGTGAATTATTGCAGTTGTTAAATTAGTAACACAGTCATTAAGCAAATATGACTTTCCCATTGACTCTACTTTCCAAAGGTTGCAGAAAATGACCACATGACACCAGATCACTGCAATTGTCATAAATACATGCCAGTTGCCAAACATCCAAACTTTGATCACATGACCACAGGGATGCTGCAATGGTTATGTGAAAAATGGTCATAAACTACTTTTTCCAGTGCCGTTGTTACTTCAGTCACTAAACAAATGGCTGTCAATTGAGGACTACTGTAGTTCTTCATTTATACAACCTTGCCCCAGAAACAGGGATAGCAAAATATTTCAGCTGCATTCTGAGTAGCATATAAAGGGAACAGAAATATGCTCTGTTTAATCTATCACTGTATCAAACTTTTTTTTAAAAGACGTTCTCATTCAAATTATAAGAGAGGCATAAGAAAGGAATCTACTGTGGAGTGAGCTATGTATCAATGTTTCTCATCTCATCATGGATTTTAAACAAGTTATCATGTAATTTAAATTATGCTATTTAAATATCATCTCATAAGGAAAGGGTTTAAACTTGTGTTCTCCATGGCCAATCCAATTCTCTAAAGAAATATTAGTATAATTTTTTTAGCAGAAACTTCAGAAGCAAGCTGCTTTGGTTCCTTAATTCCTTCTACCTAGCTACCACTTCTGTTCTCACTATCTCTAATCCACAGCTTATTGTGAACAAGAGGAATAAAGAATAAGTTTAGCTAGGAAAACACACATTTACTTTTTGGGTAACTTATGGTAGCTAAGAAGAATGCAACTGTGTCTATAAAGCAGAAAATATAAAGACTTGTCTTTTTTTCTTGACTATAGAAACTGTATTATAGTCAGCCAACTTAAATTAATGGAAAAAAATAATATTCCTACAAGCTTACACTACATACTCTGCTGCCAGTATGCCTTCTTCGGTTAGACATAGGAGAGTGGCTTCGGCTCCTTCGACGCCGATATTCTGGGGTATAAGATCTACTTCGTGATCGCCGCTTGTGAGAATGGGATCTAGAGCGGGTATATCGCCTGTGAGAATGTCTTCTGGATCTAGATCTTTAAATGGTAAAAATAAAGTTTCATATAAAGACTGCAATAGGCCATCAAAATTAATATTAAAAATTATTAATAACAATTTAAAACAACTGATTTATATAACTGTTAACATTTTAAGATATTAAATTCATTGTTTTTCAAAACTTATGGGCAATTTATGGAATAAGATCTGCACCTGACATGCCGTTATTATGCTGCAGTTACATATTGAGGAAATCTCCTAAAGAAATTCTAACGCTCACCTATCCTAAAACAGATGTCATTTTTTTTTTAAAGGGAAAGAAATGAAGCATTACTAATCTTAACATTCTACACTGGAGAAGTAAACTGCAGAAAAACTGCATGACCACTGCCATTCTATTTGAGAAGGTGTGAAATGAGCAGAAATGCATGTATTTTTATTTGGGACATAATTTGTCATGGAAATTTCTGAACTTCTCTTCAAATAGTCTTTATTTACAGGTAATCCCCCAGGTACCAACATTTATTTGGTGAGTTTTCACAAAAACAAATTAATTCAGAAAGGATACTTGTATTAAATACTCAAAATTGTGACCAAATAGAGGCATTTGTAGCTATGTGACTTGGATTCAGTCTCTGCTGCAAATGGCTGCCATGTTAACTCTGTGACTTGCCTGGGCCATTTGGGGTATGAGAAGCTGGAAGGGGGGGGGTTGTCCCTTGGTCACATGGGCCAGTGGTTCTCAACCTGTGGGTCGGGACCCCATTTGGGGTCGAATGACCATTTCACGGGGGTCGCCAAACAATGCAGTCTGCCATTTTTCCCCCCTTTTCCTTAGCTGTGCTACTCCCTTTTATTCTATTGGCTTTTGAAAGCCAATAGAATAGACTCTCTTGAATAGAGTCTAATTCTATTGGCTTTCAAAAGCCAATAGGAATTGTCCAGGCTGTCTCTACCCTGCTGAGCCCGCCAAAAGTCCCATTCTGCAAACGGTGCTGCACCAGTTTAGTCCTCGACTTACGACCGGTTGATAGTCCTCGACTTACGACCGGTTGGGGGGGGGGGTCGCGGCATTAAAAAGATTGAGAACCACTGACATAGGCAAACAAGAGCTGAACTGGCACCGGTTTTTGGTTTTGCTGCAATCTGCTATTGCAGTGGTTCTCAACCTTTTTAATGCTGTGACCCCCCAACCGGTCGTAAGTCGAGGACTACTCAACCGGTCGTAAGTCGAGGACTACTCAACTGGTGCAGCACCGTTTGCAGAGTCTATTCTATTGGCTTTCAAAAGCCAATAGAATAAAATGGAGTAGCACAGCTAAGGAAAAGGGGGAAAAAATGGCGGACTGCGTTGTTTGGCAACCCCCGTGAAATGGTCGTTCGACCCCAAATGGGGTCCCGACCCACAGGTTGAGAACCACTGTGCTATTGCCTGGGCTCAAGTGCTACAATTACTTCTGTAAATATTTTTAAAAAAATTTTTTGTTACTCTTTTGGGAACTGCTCTGCTTTTTAAGTACTGTACTTTGCAAACTATTGTGTTTGCAAACTATTAAGCTTTTATTTTGGAGATTAGCATATATTACTGTAGTTTGTAGGTTTTAAATTTAAATTGCCTGTAGAAGTGGTGGGTGCCCATCACTGGAAGCTTTTAAGAAGAGACTGCATAGGTATTTATCAGATACTTTCTCGTGAGAGCAGTGGGTTAGACTAAATGACTTCAAGATCCCTTCCATCTCTGTTACTATTACAAGCCAAGAGTTCTGCAAGTTCCTCCCCCATCGCCCTCTGGGTGCCTGCCTGGAGACTCTTAAGCTAATTAGTGACAAGGTTTTTAAAAAATTTTAAAGCAACAGTTAGCTGAAGAAGCTTGAGCTAACTAGCAACAGTTGTTTTTTTTAAAAAAATAATTTAATGGCTGCAAGCCCTGCTTGGAGGCAATTTAGTTCCTGAAGGCATCGGAAACAGGTGATGGGTGGCTGGCGGGAAACTTTCCCAGTTCAGTTAACATGGCAGCTATCGGAGGAAATAGTAAATCAGATTTTCATTCTTTTAACAATCCATTTGAGTTTTTGACTTACGAGCTAATGGCCCGGTTCCATTCGGTACGTACCTCAGGGATTACCTCTATTACTATAGGAATATTTTCATATTTTTCATAACTACATGTAGCTATGAATTTAAATAGCTTACTGGTATTTCTATATTTACATGTCTATACATGCACATTGTTAAAGCACATCACAACTGCTTGAAAACAAGCCTAGTACAACTGTTTTGATGGATTTTACAATATCATAATGTTAACTTTTTATTTTTGCCATTATCACTATATGATTATTTATGAAGTTTCAGGGCATTTTTCAAGACCTGACAAAAAAACTTAGTTCTATAATTGCAACAAGTGTATAAGTAAAGTTTAATATATTCAATTTTTTAATAAACATAAATGTACCTGGATTTTGATCTTGATCGAGAGTGTGATTCAGAATGTTTAGAAGCTTTTGATGGGCTACGAGATCGTGACCTGCTCTCAGATTTTGCACGAGCAGGACTCCCAGCTGGAGATTTTGACTGGGAGCGTGATTCCTACCGAAAGAAGCAGTATTACAAATGGTATTGGTTGCACAAATGCCTACCTTCTTAAGTTAAAAGTAACTATATTTTATTGATTGTGCCTGAAAAATAAATGGTTAGGTAATACCCTCCAGGACAAGATTCTCTTTAACCCACTATTAATATTGTACAATTTCCTCAAATAATACCCTACATGAACCAGATGTCCAATATTCTATTAACTAAGTAATCATGCAAATTCATCTATAACTTGATCAGACAGACACTGGAACATAAGCCATACATTTACTTAACCTAGGACCCATTCATTCTTCCAGATTCTTTTAATTCTACTTCACTCTTGCTTTCTACTTTTCTTCATTCTTCATTGAGTTTTTCATTTTTCATACTTCGTGTATTCTTCCCCAATTCAAACAATTCATTATAGCCTTAAAAAATATTCAAGTGCTTCTATCTGACCAATCTTCTGTTCAATTTTCCCCCATTCAATTTTAATTTTCTGATCTTTAACATTTTTCATTAGCCTTCTTTTATCTTGATTTATCTTCCACATTCTTGGAAAAAACTCTTCCATTTCTTCACGAACATTAACCTTAATGGAAAAAGAACATTTAGTATATTTAAGCATGTGGGGATTATAAAACCCTGCTGGATTTTCAGAATTTTATCTACTAAAATGGAATAGCCAGCAGGTGAAATGCAAATAACTAGTTTATAAAAGCAATTAAAAAATCTTTTAACTGATATAATCATATAGGCTCTAGTAATGAACACTGGTTCCCTTGCAGTGTTTCTCAAATATTGTACACCTATTCGGCTCCCTAATTTCAGTAACGTTTCAAGTCTGTATTTATATACACATACAAACACACACACACACACACACACACATTCTTAAAAAGTGAAACAGACTAATAGGCAAAGATTCAAAGAGTTACAATAGCATATCAATTAACACAAATACAAATAATAAAACATCTTGACTCCTACTTTTTAAACAGAAAGATCTCACAACTTATTACAAATTTGGTTCTAAAATACATATTAAGTGCTGGTTGTTCAAATCCCAAATCTGTACTGAAAATGCAAATTTGATTTACTACTTTGGATCTTAGCCATAGAAGCTATGTTTGATTTACAAATCCCATGATTCATGTCTATCATTAAGTGTGATTATTTTATTCAAGTTAGAAATATTTGTACAGTAAAATAACAAAGCTAAACTATTTGTTAATATCAGTATGGTTTAATAATGCTGCTAACTGTACTGCCTGACTAGATGTCTACTTTGTACTCCACCAGAAGAAATGTATCAGGCAAGGCAATTTAGAAAGAGTAAGCAATATATATATATATATATATATATATATATATATATATATATATATATATATATATATATATATGCATGTATATTATATGTATCTAAATGAGGTGATCATTTGTTCTCCCAAACTAAAGAACCAAGCAGAAATTACTCTCAAAATTATTTAATACAAAAGCTGATGTCAAAAAGACCCATTTTTTTTCAGGAATTGAAACTATTCATTTTATTTTCTAATTTCAAATCTTTTCCCCATCATTTTTAAAATACTGAATAAAGTTGCAAATACCTGGTGGCTTTTGTAAAATTCAGCTTTTATGTATTTCTCTACAGTACACGTAATCTTCAACTTACAATAGATCATTTAGTGACTGTTCAATGTTACAACATCACTGAAAAAAGTGACTTATGACAGTTTTTCACATTTATGACAGTTACCCCATCCCCATGAAGATGTGATAAAAATTCAGACAGAATATTTATGACAGTTGCAGTGACCTGGGATCAAGTGATCACTTTTGCAATCTTCTGATAAACAAAATCAATGGGGAAGCCAGATTCACTTAACGTCAATGATTCACATAACAACTATGGCAATAAAGGTCATAAAATGGGGCAAAATTCAGTTAACAAATGTCTCCCTTAGCAACATAAATTTTGGACTCAATTGTGGTTGTAAGTTGAGGACTACCTGTACTTTCCCCACAATTAAATATGAGGTAATCTAACCTCTTCAGAAAAACTTCTAAAAAGCAAAGACTTTTAATGAGAAAAGAATGGGTAGAAAGAAATATCACACTGGAAAATGCATTGTTTCTTAGATAATGGTAGACAGCTTTCTACAAGGAACTACAGGTAGTCCTCAACTTACAACCATAATTGAGCCAAAATTTTTCTTTTTAAATAAATCACTGCAGTTGTTAAGTTAATAACATGATTGTTAAATGAATCCGGCTTCACCATTAACTTTGCTTGTCAGAAGGTTGCAAAAGGTAATAACATGACCCAAGGCCACTGCAACTGTCATAAATGAGTCAGTTGCCAAACATTTGAATTTTGATCACATGACCATGGAGATGCTACAATAGTCGAAATGTGAAAAACCGTCATAAGTCACTTTTTTGGTGCTGTTTTAACTAAATGAAGTGTTGTAAGCTAAGGACTACTTGTACTAATTTTTGACAAAGACTAAACAAACTGTTGTGAGGATCCAATCTGGGTTGGTCACCTTGACCAGAGATTTTGTTTTCTGAGCTTTCGGATTAATGCCGGAGCCCATTTTCAGGGAACTTCTCTCTAGCCAGAACTTTTCTTTAATTAGAGAGCCAATTTGGGGTTATTGTTAAAACTTAAGACTACAAACTGGAAGACTGTGAGTTCTAGTCCTGCCCTCGGCATAAACCACTTTTAAAAAAACCTTTGTAAGAAAACTGCAGGGACTTGTCCATTGAGAAATGGACACAATTGAATAGAAGGGAAAAAAATTACATATCCAAGGCTCACTATCAACACTTATATCTTTCACATATATGATCTTTTAAATTTAAATATATACATTGCAAAACTGTACTGGTCACATTTTTAGAACACAAAACAATAAATTACACTGGAAAAGAATGGATCAGTGATATGGCATTTCATTTTTTTGCCTTCTCCTCCATCCTGAATATGTTCATAAAGTCACCAGGAATAAAAATGAACTGAAAGAGGACTTTATCCTGGTTTGAAGGCTCTCTTTCAGTTAAGTTGATTCCAGATGACCTAATGAACAAATCGTGGATGGGGAGAAAACAATCAAATTGTATGATTTTGTACTGCCACTTTCTGGATATTTTTTTTCCAATTTCGAGATCTATTATATGTCTTGGAATTTCCCAGTAACCTCTTATCTTTGTAAACATGTTGAGATTAGCCAAGGTCAACAACAAAAGCATGCTATTAGAAGGCAGCCCTATTTTATAAATAATCCTTACATTTATACCATCATGACTGCATTCTGTTCAACTCGCAACTGGCTCACCTTTTTGACAGATTGTAATGTTCTGCAATTTATACTTTTTGCTAGAAGCATGCTTTTTTAAACAGTTTCTGGCAAAAATGCCCACAGGACGCATTGAATCCCTTAATGTAGCGGTTCTCCACCTATGGGTCGCGACCCCATTTGGGGGTCGAATGACCATTTCACAGGGGTCACCAAACAAGGCTGTCCGCCATTTTCCCCCCCTTTTCTTTAGCTGTGCTACTCCCTCTTATTCTATTGGCTTTTGAAAGCCAATAGAACAGACTCTATTCAGGAGACTCTATTCTATTGGCGTTCGAAAGCCAATAGAATAGACTCTCTTGAATAGAGTCTAATTCTATTTGATTTCAAAAGCTGATAGGAATTGTCCAGGCTGTCTCTGCCCTGCTGAGACCGCCAAAAGTCCCAGTCTGCAAACGGTGCTGCAAGGAAAGCTTCCCTCCCTGCTGAGCAACTACTAAAAGTAAGTAAAAGAGGGCCAGGGGTTGGAGGTAGGAGGCCGACGAGTGCAGGGAGGGTTGCTGGTGCGTGTGGGGCCGGCAGGTGCCTTACCTGCCTGGGTTGGGCCAGCTGGTAGCCCAGCCGGTGGTCGCCTTGCGCTGTCGCTTGCCGTGGCCGCTCAGGAGTGCCTGGGCCTGCCTGCCGCCACCCCGAATGGGTGGCGGCCAAGGTAAGGCTAGCGGGGCAGCAGCAGGCGCAGGGAGGGTTTCTGGCGCGCGAGGAGCTCGGCAGGTGCCTTACCTGCCTGGGCTGGGCAAGCTGGTGGCCCAGCCAGTGGTCGCCCTGCGTCGTCGCTGCCCCTTGCCAGCTAGGCCTCGGCCGGCGCAGGGGGCAGCACCACGCATGCACGGCGATCCCGGGCAGGGAAAGTCCTCGACTTACGACTGTTGGGTAGTCCTCGACTTACAACCAGTTGGGGAGGGTCGCGGTATTAAAAAGGTTGAGAACCACTACCTTAATGACTGTGGCAAGAAAGGTTGCAATCACATGGGCGCCTCAACTTATGACTATGATTTATAATGGAAATTCCAAGCTCCATTATGATAAATCCATTATGATTTATCTATATATAAATCAAAAATATTAAACAACATTCCTCAATATATTTATATTATAAAAATAAGAAAAATTCTACAGGGAAATTACAAAATTTATATTGCCAAATTTATTATAGGGACTTTGCTACCTTCTCAAAAGTGCAATGAACAACTCAATTTCTCCAGACTCTTAAAGCTTAAGAGATTGGTGTGGATCTCTCAGGTGGGCCATACTTAAGAACATGAAATAAATAAAATCTATGTTATGATCAAAAACAACTTTGTGGCTTTCTGCACAAGAAGCATTCTATAGCTGAGAAATAAGTAAGAATAAATGATGATGTATTAGAATTTTCTCAGGGGGAATTAAAACAAAATCAATAGAAAATCTGACAATATGGGTAGACTTCCACTTATAATCACAATTGGGCCTGAAATCTTGGTCACTGACCAAAATGGTCATTAAATGAGACACCACATGACTGCTTCATTCAATAATCACCAGTTAAGAAGAGCACCAGGGAGAGGCTTTGGGTTTCCCACCACACCCAGGAAGCCTACCCAATCAGGGAGAACAAATTTGAGTGCCATCATTTTTGAAGGTTCATTTTTGCCATATTTGAGGCCTGTTCCTCTTGTACATAGAAAGATTTCCCTTCCCTGCATAGGGAAAAGGGGAAATCCATAAATGTATGTGCTAAGAGAACAGATATCAAATCCAACATGCCCTCTGCTTGCAACCTTCCCTGCTAGCATCATCACTGATTTCCTAGGAAAGCCAGCAGAAAAAAAGTCCGCAAGTGGTGATCATGTGGCATCTGACACCAAGGGAACTTCACAACTGCTTGTAAATGTGAACAAGTTGACAAGTCACCAAAATGCAGTTATATGAGAGGGAGGGCACAATATTTTACAATTGCCATAAGAGCTTTGCGGGATTACACATCAACATTTAAATATACTCAAATTATGCAGCCCAGGCTGGATGGCCTCAAACATTCTGCATCTACTTCTGACAGAGTAACTGAGTTTTCTCTATTTGAGAAGAGTAAATTAATTATACTGAAATTTCACAGCTCATTTTTTAAAATCTAAACAAAGCCATTCTTATCTCTCCTACTTATCCCTATATAAACAGATTTACTTCACCATGCTGTTTCTCCCCGAAATTAAGACCTGGTCTTATTTTTAATTTTTTGCCTCCAAAAGAGGCACCGGGGTGGTGGTTATTTTCCACTTACCTCGCAGCGGTGGCACCGACAGCTCCGCCCAGCCAGCCCTCTTCTGTGGCCAAAGGAGCAGCTTCACTCTGCAGCTGAGAATGGAGCTTGGGCCTGCATTTCGCCCTCACAGGCATTTCTGGAAGGCCTGTGCAGCTGAGAATTGAGCTGCAGATTGAATTCATAGCTCGGTTTTTGGCTGCATATAACTTCCGGAAAGGCCTCTGACTGAGAAATGCAGGTCCAAGCTCCATTCTCAGCTGCAGAATGAAGCTGCTCCTTCAACCTTAGAAGTCGGCCTGTAAGGCAAGTGTCAATCCAAGGGAGGCCTGGCTGCAATGGTAAGCTCCACCCGTCTCAGCTTGATTTTTAGGCATGTACCTCACCCCAAAATTAGGGCTTATTTTGGGGGAAACACAATATATGTTAGCTTCCTTTCTATTGATAATAAGCTACTTCCCCATATCAAATTCAATATTTAGGAAATTCAGCTAATTGATAATGCAAAAAGGACATTCCCTAGCTGGACTAATTATAACGAAAGTTGTAGTCAAAGCTAGTATGTTCCTAGTCTTGAATCTTATAAAGTAAAGTCTTTATATTTGAAGTAGTCTTTATATTGTTCCTAGGCGAACTTTAAAGAGAGTAAGGTAGTCCTCAACTTACGACCACAACTGAGCCCAAAATTTATGTTGCTTAGTGAAACATTTGTTAAATGAGTTTTGCCTCATTTTACAACTTTTCTTGCCACAGTTGTTAAGTGAATCACTGGAGTTGATAAGTTAGTAACACAGGTGATAAGTAAAACAGGTTTCCCCATTGACTTTGCTTGTCAAAAGATTGCAAAAGGTGATCACATAATCTCTGGACACTGCAAGCATCATAAATATGAGTCAGTTGCCAAGCATCTGAATTTTGATCACATGATCATAGCGATGTTGCAAGGGTATGAAAAACAGTCACTGCATGGTGGCTCAGTGGTTAGAATGCAGTATGCAGGCTAACTCACTGCTTACCCCAGGAGTTTGATTCTGAGATGCTCAAGGTTGACTCAGCCTTCCATCCTTCTGAGGTCAGGGGTAATATGCTGATTCTGTAAACCACCTGAGAGGGCTATAAGCCACTTTGAAGTAATATATAAATTTAAGTGCTATTGCTCTAAATCAGTGTTTCCCAAACTTGACAATTTTAAGGCATGTGGACTTCAACTCCCAGAATTCCACAGCCAGCAACGTCCTCATGCCTTAAAATTGTCAAGTTTGGGAAACACTGCTCTAAATCACTGTTTTCAATGTAACTTTGAACAGTCATTAAATGAACTGTTTTAAGTTGAGGACTACCTGTGTACAGTGGTGGGATTCAAATATGTGAACAACTGGTTGTCTGTGTGGATGCTGCTTCCGGAAGTCCACTCTGGGCCTGAGCAACAAAAAATTAGCTACCGGTTCTGCCAAACTGGTGCAAACTGCCTGAATCCCACCACTGCCTGTATATGTCCCCTGAATTAAGCCAAGCAGTTTAGAGAGGCTAATGCAGAACAGTTCTTAATTAAGGGAAATGTATTTCAGCAAAACACAACATTAATAACAATAAACCATGGTACTTCAATACCATAAGGAACAATTTTTAAAGTAACAAAGAGGATTCTACTGCATCCAGATTCTTAATCTAATTATACTGGGTATTTTATTATTTTAATACAGCTACAATATACACTTCTATCTTGCCTGGTTTCAAATTGTTTCATTTCTTTCACTTCTTCACAACTTCCAGCTGCTGCTTCAATAATAAGTGTTCTTGAATTTTTGCATGTGAAATCAAATAATAATCCTAAACATATTGAAAAACTTATCACCGCTTTACATTTGGTTTTGTTGTTTTTTCAAGATTTTAATATAAATGAAAATAAAAAACTTTATAGAAACATCATTATTAGATACAAATGAACATTAATTGTAAAGGCTCAAATAGGATATTCTTATACAAGGATAAGATTTGCACTACAATCACACATTCCTATTATCATTTTTGAGAAAAGTAGTAACAAGATATATTAGTTTTTAAAAAATGAGCTTTCCCAAATTTATAAGGTAGGAGGGGAACGAAATGAGTACCTCAAGTTTTTTATACTGTAATAACAGAACACACAAACACACACACACACAAATCTAAATCTAAAAATACCGTAACTCTTCCCAGACAGCATATTTAACTCTTCCCAGACAGCATATTTAAAAGTATGCTATTATACTCTCTATGCAAAATTTAAAAATTCCTTTCAATAATTAAATAATGACCTGATAAATTATTTAAGATAGTGCAAACGTAGAATTGGAACAATGGCAAGTAGCTTCTAATTAACTCTTTTCATTATTACTGCCCACAATAATGCAGAAAATATCCACTAGTACCATACCTTAAACACCTTATCGTAACAAAATGTTGACTCTGTATTCCGGTGTAAACCTAATAAATCATGCTGGAAGCTTAATAGCATTTTTACCTGAAAAAATTCTGATGCCATTTTCATCGTATTATTATTAGAAACGGTCCTCAACTCTCTCCTAGGACAAGGGGGCATTATCGCCGGCCCTCCCGATTTCTCTGACTGTATAGGGTCCCTTCCCACCAGCCCTGCATACTTTCTTTTTGGATTTCCGGGAGGAGGATGTTATTAGTTAAAGTGAAAACGGGAATTTAAAGCAATCGAGAATGAAAGAACTTGAAAATGGCAAAAAAAAAAAAAAAAAGGAAAAGGGCAAACGGTTAAAAATAGAGCGAAGGGGGGGAGCGAGAACCCAACACTCATTAAAGGGGTGAGGGTTGGCGCCAAAAGAGGAGTCGGGATCACGGTTTGTTAATTCCGAGGATCCTGGTCCGGAAGGAGGAAAGCAGGGCCAAGTCGAAACAGCCAACGAGAGCGCGGTCCCTGCGGGCGGGATGTAGCGTAGCCCCACCTCGGAGGAAGGAACCATTTTGGTAAGGAACAACGAAGTCTCTCAGGATGACTCCGCCCCGCTCGGCGCCCGATGCGGAGGCTCTTTTTTTCTTCTTCGCCCACTTCTTGCCCTCAGGGCCAGGCCAGGCCTCCGACACCTCGGCCCGAACAGAACCGCTCACTACTCACCCTCCCCTCGAAGTTATTCTCCTCCACGTCGCTCATGCTGGCGCGTGTCTAAGGCGGCAGGTGGCCAAACAAGTGGGAATCCGTGGGAGGAGCACCGAGCCCCGACTTTCTCCTGCCACTGCCTCCAATTACCTAACTCCTATGCTGTGGCGACGGCAACGCAAAATGGCGCTTCAGTCACTAACGTTTGCGCCCGACACTCAGGGAAGGGGAGGGACTCCCGGTGCCACGCCCAGACGTGCCACAATGTGGCATCTCCGCCGCAAGAAACAACGTACAGTAGTAGGCTGGACGAGTGGCACATGCGCAATTTATTGGGTCTAGTTTTCGGCTTTGCACGTGTTGGGCTTTTCCAGGGATGCTTGACTTGGAGTGCAATAGCATAGTAATTCTTCTAGTTTTGTGGTTCCTATCAGTTATTTTTATTTAGTTTATATGCTCACCCAACTGCAAAGTGACTCTAATAATGCTATTGGTGAATCTAGAATCAAATATTTTAATAATGTAATTTATTTATTTATGGTTCAAGACCTTTTGATGTTAAATCAGTTAAGTTCACTTTGGCCCAGTTAACCAATTTATACAATTCAGTTCTCTGGGTTTGCACAATCCATTACACCATAAACTAATATGAGATACAACATAATACATTGTAATTTTCCATAATGTAGACTAGCATATAGCTTATGAATGACATATCCAATTTATATGGTTTATTTTTTATTCAAACTAGCTAGGGTTAGTATTTTAAAGAATAGCCACTTTATTATATATCCAGAGCACAGCTATGTTTAACCAATGCATGAACTCTGCTAAAGCTATGACATACATAGCTTCTGGCTGGAAGCATGTACCAGTTACACCATTGTACAGATAACAAGGGAATTAATAAGGAAATACCAGAGAGGGGGCAGTGAAGGGGCTAGGGCAGTGGTGACGAACCTATGGCACGGGTGCCAGAGGCGGCACTCAGAGCCCTCTCTGTGGGCACGCGCTCTGTCGCCCCAGTCCTAGGCCTTCAGCTAGGTTTTATAAAACGTTTTTGCTTTAGTAAGGTGACCAACCATCCTCCTTTAGGGAGGACAGTCCTCCTTTTGTAAGTTCTGTCCTCCCTCAAAAAGTGTCCTCCTTCATGTCCTCCTTTTCAACATTTGAAGACTAATCTGCAGGGCTTTTTTTTTCCTCATAGAACGCTCAGAACTGTGTTCCAGCACCTTTTTTTGATCGTTTTTTTTTTCAACTTTTGCATGAGCTGTGCTACTCCCACTATTGGCTTTTGAAAGCCAATAGGAATTGCTGCTGAGCACGCCAAAACACCCGACTGGCAAACTTTGCACATGCAAGTTGTCTGTATTATTGTTGCAATGAATAAAATGTTTCTTTTATTTACAATATTTTTTTCTTCAATATATCTGTGTCCTCCTTTTTATTGTAAAAAAGTTGGTCACCTTAGCTTTAAGTTTCTGCCGCTGTGTGCAAAAAAAAAAAAAAGGTTAAATCAATCAATTTCAACTTCTCGCCGGGAAAAAAAAGGTCTTGCAAAGTTGGAATTGATTGATTGAATTTTTTAATCCCACTCAATCTGCCGTTACCACCGCAGCCATGCCCACCCAATGGGTCACACTCACCCAATGGGCTATGCCCAGCCGATGCATAAATGGGTTTTGGGTTGCAGTTTGGGCACTCAGTCTCTAAAAGGTTCGCCATCACTGGGCTAGGGCTTACAAGTTTGGGTGACAAGGGCTTAATTAACTTTAAGCATTTAGGTATGATAGGTGGACTGTTAGCATGTGACTGAACTGGGTCTATCAACTGGGCCTGGGGAGGATGGACCAGCTGAACTGCTGAAATCTATAAAGAAGGTGTGGTCTCTTATTTTCTCTCTTACTTTCATGTACTGAGATCCGCCAGCCTTTGCAAGCACTTTAATAAAACTTTTTTTTTCCAATAACCTTGGAGTTGAATTTTATTCCTCACACTAATCATACACAATCCCAAAGGTGCTTTCTCTGAGATGAAAAAGCTTCTTCAATGAGCAACGAAATGTCTTCAAAGACAAACAAAAGTCCAGTTGCCTTGTGAAAAAGTACCTTTGGGATAACTATGACCTGGATGACTGAGAATCTCCATAGACACGATCATACACAACTGAATTTATATAATGGGTGGTTAGTTTATGGTTCGGTGCCTCATGTAAACAAAAACTATTGTGTAGTGAGATATAAATCTAATTAACTGCAATCAAACTCCCAAAGGTGAGTTTATAGGGGCATCATGGAATCATGGAAGGGGACGAGGTCATTTGTGCCACCAATCCAACTCCCCACTTCATATAAGAATCTGAATTAATTATACAGACATGTGGCTGTATGCTCTCCACTTGAGCTCAATTCGTAGGTCTAGTTTTTGATTCCATGTACAATCCAATAAACGGGGATTAAGTAGATCACGATTAAGTTATGATAATCAAATAATCACGTGTGTGAATGTACACAACCATAATCTTTGTGCAATTAATCTTTCTAGGAAACTTGGTCCACTTGTGAAGTGTTTTGTTTGTAAAATTCATATACTATAGAAAACGCTGAAAAGAAAAAGCAGATTGATAAAAAAATTTAAAATAGAAACTGTTAGAATTCATTGTAAATTCAGTAAGTGTACTGCAAAAAATAATGCACTATAATAAATCAACGTACTTTTAAAATTAGGAGCAAATATCAACATTTCAAACGTGTGGTTTCCGTTGCCTTTCTTTTGCTCCACCCCGCATATGATAATTTTACCCTTTTTTCCACCAGCAGCCGGAAGTGCGGCCTGGATATGATTCAATTGCTGTTGTCCCTATGCGCTGCGCAGTCAGGAGGTGCTGACTGAAATCTATGCTCAGGTAAGGGGTTGTTTGCTCTTTGTGTGTGGTACGCTGGCAGGATGTGCGAGATTCGATGGTAACTTATAGTTCACACTTGGATTTAGAGAACACATCTGGAGAAAGGGGAGAAAGAGATCGAGTGCCGGAAGGGCGGACGAGGTTTTGGTGACTGCCCGTCGCAAGCTTTGCCTGCACCGTGAAACCCATGGAGAAAAAAAAAATCTGATAGGCGATGAATAGATTTGTGTGAGTCGCTTGATGAAAAACAACTGTGTTTGTAAAGAACGATTCTGGGCGTGTATGTTGGCATGACGTACTGATACAGAAACGAGCTAGCCAACTTCTAACCTAGCATCTGGCGCGAACTTAATTCGTGCGTGTAGTTTTGGTTCAATGTACAATCCAATAAACTGGGACTAAATAGATCATGGTTAAGCTATGATAATCACGTGTGTGAATATACACAACTATAGTTTTTGTTTTCTTAAGTACCGTGGCGATTTTGCACGTTCTTTGTGCCTTATAAGGGTTGTTTTCTTGATAGCTTTCATGAAATAAGATATTAGTAATTCATTTCTTTGCTTCTTAAATCTTGTGCCTTCCTTCAATCAAGCTTCCCTCAACTTATCTATATTTCAGATTTTGAAATAAATATAGATTGTGAATAGAGATTTTTTTTTTGAAAGACCACTTCCTCCTGGTAGATTTAATTTTGCATGGTAACATTTAAAAAAGCATTAAGTACTAAAATTTAATTTGTTTGAAAATATGTAATTTTATGAAGTTGAATTTGTCATTTTTATTATCTCAATGGGACATGTGAACTTAGATGAACATAACCTGCTGGCAGGTCTTTAAATTCTTTCAATTTAATGGTGTTTACTACTTAAAATAATTTTCTATGTGATTACAAAAAGGAGAAATTGGTGTCTTTCTGTTGATACAGTTATACCAGTTGCAAAGGTATTTTCTATTTAATATTGTTAACATACAAAAAATATTAGACCAGTAATAAGTAATTTGCTAATATATAAAGGCTATTGTAAGATTAATAATGTATTTACATTTTGTGAGAGTCTCATAAAGAAAATAAAAGACCCAAAAATCACTTAAAGAGCTTTGTATAATTCTGAACTTTACCTACAACCCTAATTTTTTCTTGCTTATTTCTAGCTGAAGAAAACAAGAATTTTGAGAGAATTGTTTCTTATAAACTATACATTGGGGTTTGGGCAGTTTGGAATATGTGATTTTTGATATTTTGGCATCTTTAATATCGTTTTCCTGGTTATACTAACTAGAGGATCATAAAATATATATTTGAAGTGCCAATATGCTTTCTAAAGTTTCTTCTCAAGCCTACATTTATAACATAATAACCTGAACAAGTTTTCTTATTTTTTTAAAGTCTTTTTCCTCAGATGTTTCTCCCTCTCCTAAATGTTTATCATTTGACCAGCAAACTGTGCTACTCTTAATTCTGAAAAATAAGAACTGCGTTAGGCTGAGTAAATATAACGGATTAAATAATCCTTGAGTTTATTCAAAATGATATTGAGCTGAGCATGGATGCAAATATTATCTTGGAATATTGGTTAGTTGAGGACAGCTCCAACTAAAGCAACAGAATTATAAAATGGTAGGTGTTCCTAATTTATTATCTTGAAAACTACTTATTTTATGTTAATTCATATTAACAGAGTAATCTGCAATGGAAAACTGTCAGATAAAGCACTGTTTAACTGTACTTCCTACATAAATAGTTCTGTTTTTTTCTAATGGGGCTTATTCTAAAAAGTGGATGTAGCTTCTGTTTCCTCTTACTGTTAACCAAGCTTCCTGGGGTTTTAGAGTCTGAAATACAAAACCTTTAGGGAAGTCACAGATTTCTCACTTGCAGATGGTTTACAGGTAGTCCTTGTTTAATAACTCTGACTGGGACTGGAATTTACATCCCTAAGCAAAACAGTTGTTAGGTGAAACATCATGAAATTATACTACTTAGCAAGAACAATTTCAATACTCCTGATAGCAATTATTAGGTGAGGACTTCATGTTACTCCTGTCATTCCATGCTGACCTCTACTTCAACTTTCCCCAGCCACCACTTCCCCTCCCCACCTCTGCCCTTTTGGCTACCCTGCCCTCTGTTGCATAACCTGCCACCCCCAGCTGACCTTTGCCATCTTCCTCCTGCTATTGATGAGGTGCACCTGGCTGAGGCAGCTGCTGGTTCTTGTGAGACATTGTGAAAGACAGCAACTGCCTTGGTTAGGCATACCTCTTCAGCAGCAGGGAGAAAAAGATGGCAAAGTCAATTGAAGCAGC